GGGGAAAGGGGGGGGGGGGCAGGGGAGGCCCAAAGAATCTTTATCAATGCATCCCTAATAACTATTCTTTCCTCTCTGTTTGTTAAATGCTCTTCTAACAACAAATCTGATGGAGTTTTTCCTTTCCAAAGCAACAGAGCTAGTAAGACTGAATGAACACAGAAAGTGAACTACTTACCCAGTACCAGACTACATGTACATAGCAAAGTTCTGTATGCAGTTTCTCATTTTCTCCATATTAATGAAACCCCACGACCACGTGAGCATGAAGCTTGCAGTATTCCTGATTATTGTCTTGTAGTTAACTAGAATGCCCATCCAGCCCTAATCCTGGCATTGCAGTAATGGTTTGGTAAGAACTTACTTGAATCGTGCAGGTGAAAGCGGAGTTGGGGGAAACATTCCAGGTTCAAAGGAATCAAAATATGTCACCGTCCAAGAAAAGCTGCAGCATGAGAGCCCTGCTGTCAAGGCTAGAATAAGCAGACCCCAAAATCCTTAACAAGGGATAAAAAGAGAAGTTTATGTAAATAAGTATGAGAACACTAAATTACAACAGATTTTCAAAGAACTCAGCTTCACAATATAACATAATGGTTCCACATTCCTGAAAGAGAATGGTATATCTAGTTCTGTGTTGGTATTATTTTTAGAGGTGAATAAAGAAAATTGACTGCATCAGAAATTGGCCTGATTTGGCCAATAAATGCCTCATGCTTGCACACAGCTGCAGTGCAGCATGTAGGCAGCGAGGATCACAGCCTGACAGCTTGGAGAGCTGTGCACAGCTGGTAAGTCTGTTGTGTTGTGGTGGATGGAGAGCAGGGAGGAAAAGGATGTGGGCGGGGAACAGATCAAGGCCCCACCCCGCATGGTGAGGGAGTGGGGCAGGGCAGGACAGAGCCACAATCAGCTCATCCAGGGGGCGAGTGGGGGCGGGGGGGGTATCAGAAATCAGATCAGTATCAGCCAATAAGCCTCCTTAAAAATCTACTATCAATACTGGCCCCAAAAATCTATCAGTGCACCCCTAATTATTTTTAAACTATGAACATACACAGTAGAACCCAGATACTTTGTAGAATCAGGTTCCTTGCCCACAGCAAAGATAAGGGTCCAGCTGTGCACAACCACTGAGGTGCTCCAGTTGTTGGCTGGAGTTTTGTTTCAAAGGGCACTGCTTTTCCAAACCGCTAGAGGACCACTAATGAACCCTAGCTGTGTAGAGAAGCAGCATTCTTTGAAATAAAAGCTGCAGCAAATGGTTCTTTAATTCCACAATCCACTGCTAATTAAGAAGTGGCAAACCACCCAAATGGAAATGAGCCATGCAGTTTTGTATGAACAGAGCAATACCTATATTGGGGTATCTATCGCAAGTGAACAAATACTGGTAAAGAAATTAAAATTAGGTCTGAAAGTCGTGCTTCACTAGGGTGTTAAATTGTGGTCACAAGGATGAAACTTGATAGGGAAAAGTCTACACGTCCTCACTGTTTTAAGATATGGAATCACTTGAAATCATAAGTAGATCTTTCAGTTCCTTTTTTTTTTTTTTTTTTTTCTCCCAGAAATTGAATTTCTGGATCAGTTAGGCAAATGTTATATTAACTGATTTAGTAATTAAGTCAAAATTCGTTATAGGCGCCATGTACATTTTAAACTTAAATGCTTATTTCTCCAATTTATATTCTCATGTAAATACAATTTCATCTGTAAACTCATTCTACCTTTAAAATGTGCATCCTGTACACATACTTGTACACATCATGCCTTTTAAAAAATGGGCACATCTCAAAAGTAATTATGTTTAAAAAATGATGTCATTTGTGATTATATGATGCATTATGACTTTCAGATTTCTTGCAGATTACAGCATGGATTGACCACCCATGGCAAGTGGCACAGAGCTCCTGTGCGTTGCATGCGAGCCCCAAGCAGAGTAAAGGGAGGTACCTAAACCAAGGTAGGAATGCTGCAAAAGGTGTCAAACATCACCAGCAGCTGCCACCACAATCAGTTCAATGTTTAATATCGGACCCACAAGTCAGCCAACTTCAGCAGAGGGAATACTGAGAAGGGACCGAGTCAGCAGGTAACCAAGAAAACAGTGATAAAACAAACATCAGGTCCTTACAAGAACCCCGGTTTCTTCCAAGGGTTATGATAATTGCTTTTCTCTGCCAGCTGCGCACTTTGAAGTGTTATCTGAGAAAAATTTAAAGTAATTTGACTTCTTTTGCTTAGCTTGCACCCGTCCACCTGCG